GCTGACATGGTGGTTGTTGACCATACATTGCGAGACAAACAAGTAACACTATAGCGATATTATTTTCGACATTACAAACAGTGATAGACAAGTATATTAAAATTGCCTTTTATGAATTAAATTGTTATTCCAAAATTATTTGCGATCGTTTTCCAGATTAATAATCGTCTTTGTAAAAGAAAATATACAAATCTTACATTCCGTCAGGTAAGTATAAAATACTCCTTTCTGCTTCTTTTTGTGAGTTTTATTTTTAAAGAAATACAGAAGTTTTGGTCATGCCGTTATATGGGATCCAAGGCCGTTTGTTGGGTTACAGCAATCATAAAGACTAAATTCCAAAACAAAATGAAATGCAGAGGGAAAGACAGTAATTTAGTAGCCAATTTCTATGGTGTGAAAAGGGCGCCCCAGAATCTACAATCAAACTGTTTACGTTTTACTTATTCAGATTGAAAACAGGCCATGGGAAATCATCCATCAATCCATTCAGATATAGAGGTGATAATATACACTTTATCACGAATCCAACATAAACGACGTGTTGCCATCCACGCAATTCCCTCGGTTGGACTGTAACAGGAAATCACTTTGATTAAGAGATCGGTTCAATGCTCGCATCCCAAGCAGAAGTTTATCAACTCCCCAAAGATATCAAGAATTCATAAAATATTGTAAGGGATGGAGGCTCATGAGGCGGTTTCCTGAACTTCGAACGATACTGTTACAATCTGTAATGACATTATATCTCAAGGCGTCTTACAAGGCGGTGAAGTACCCCCCGAAGGATACGCGACGGCGTAAGCAGACGACAACCCAACGCTTCATTAAATGTCATAATGTTTATCGCCGTGACATATAGGCTTAATTTGCTTAAAGAAGAGGAATGATTTAAATTTTTGATTGCAATTTGCTTAATATACCACAGACCTACGAGAGTCGAAATCTCTTATTACTTGTGGGGATATCAACACCCCCCCCCCCCCCATACACACACACACACACACACTTTCGGTAAATACGATTTCGGGAATCTCGTTGACTCTCGAGTTGAGGTACATGTAGCACGAAAAACAAAAACTTGCCTTAAATATTGTTTTCCACCTTCCTCCTGTCTCTCTCTCTCTCTTTAATCTCTCCTTCTTTCTAAAACTCCATGTTCTCTGCATAATACACTTACAACACATGGTTGCTTTTGGTTTCACGCCCGCAACATTAAAATACTGGGACGTGCATGAGTGCTGATGTACACGATATTGGTTAAAACCCCAAATATTGAGGGAAATTTTACCAAACACATGAATTTGACCTTTTACCCCATATTGAGAGTAACTGTAGTTGCCATTCTTATATTGATTTATTCTATCTCATTAAATCTCAGTATTACACTTTTCGGTGAAATTTTACCAAACACAAATGAATGTTTCCATTTACCCAATATTGAGAGTAACTCTAATTGGCATTTTCATTTTTATTTATTATTTCACATTATTTCTCAGAATTACACTTTTCAATTTCACCTGCACCGCCTCTTTAGTTTTATACAATACACAGGCTAGTCCAGACAATAAGCTCAAAAATCAATGCGAACACAATTTCCCCATTTTCCACTTTTTAGATACACGCATCTTTTAATCGTTAAGATGATAACAATCGTTTCTTTTCTATGCAACAATGAACTCACGTTTGAATGCCAAAGAAACAATAACAGATATGATATTTCTCAATATTTACAACCTCCCACAAAACGTGATATGAAGTATAAACATGTAATGATACAAATGTTTCTCATAAACTTTTAGCATCACGTTTTCCAGGATAAAAATGTGTTTTATAACAGAAACAGCAAAATCCTTTCGAGAAAGAAAAAAAATCATAATATACCCATCGTTCAGGAGGGAGGACTAGAACTAAATAGTGGTGTATCAACAAATGCATGGCATACCCGTTATTCATAATTACATTTGTGGTAACTGCATTACATCATGAGAGAGAAGTGCATAAACTTCAAGGTCTTTCATTGAGTAACTTCATGTAGCCTTTACACTTTGCAGATGCTACCTACCCTTTATCAGCAGTAAATTTAATTATATTCTTAGCGGAGGGAGAATGAGAAGATAATCATATGTTACATTTTTGTTACTGTCGAAAAGTACAGTCCACTTCCTAAATGTAGATAAAATTATAGCCTTTCAGAGAAGAATTTGTATTTATTGTCATTTAAAGAAATCTTTCTTTAGACCAACTTTTTTGAAGAAAAAAATGAATAAAGATACGGTCTAAACCCTAAAGAATAAGATTTTCTACGAAAAGGGAACAAAGGTTTCATAAATCAATGTGTAAAACACAAGACACGAAATATTACGGGAAAAACGATATACAGAATAGAAAAGGCGATCTTGCTTTAGAATCTTTACCAATGATTTAGACCGATTCGTTGATATTATTTTATCACTTACTCTACTACGACTGAATCTGTTCTGTACAAAACCACAAAAAAAGCCAAGTTTGAGCTTGTACACATACCTTTTAATTAGCACTACCCTAACATGCTAAGAATGTATACATGATGCGACAGGGTTTGCAGGTTCAAATCTCAAATAATTATTTGCAGGTAAATTCATAATGATTGTGTTTGAAATACGAGTATCAGTCGGCACAATTCCGAGAATTAAAATTCCCAATTAGTACAACATATATACTCAATATAATTATATATATACTCAAAAATGAATAAATAGTATTAATGGCCGAGTCAAACACTTAAAGGAAAATGCATCGCCTCTTTGCTATTATTAGATGCTTTTAATGCTTGCCCGAATTCGTTTTCAGTTTTTGTTGGTTCTAGATTGACAGTAGTTATGAAAAATGAAGTAAGTTTCCACTAGTCTATTAATGTATTGAACGCTAAAGGCTTGTTCAGATATGACAAAGTAAAAATAAAAAATAAAAATAAAAATAACCCAAACCTGGAATTCCTTGCTCAATTTTAGATTACGGTTTGAATTGAAATTTATCAATTTTGCTACAGAATTTCATCTATTTGTACCACAAAATGAGTGAAGTAGGTTAAATATGTCTAACTGTTATGACTTTTGACAATAATTGTACCCATGTTAATGCCATGTCATGGTAGTGCCAGTACGACAACCTTTACATGCAATAAAATGTTGACGCCCCCGAGTAGGGTGAACTACTTGTTGTTGAAAACAATTTACTCTTCGTTTACAAGAGGCCCTTACATTATTTACACTACAATAAAGGGTGTAATGGTTTGGCACACATACATGTACAAACCCAATAGGCTATTTAATATGACCTGACTCATAAGGGAAACATTGTAGAAATCGAATTCAATAGTAAATCGAAAAACTAAGCCGATGCGGATGATTTTATTTGTAAATTATTATAAAAATCGGTGCGGCATAGGTAGAGCACGTGTACAATGGAAAGGATCGACATGAAATTGAATATCTTGTGATACGTATGATTTTCAAGGAATTACTCCATTCCGTTTAACCATCGAACGCAGAGAAATACAATTGAGAAGTTCTTCATCGACACAACATTTTCTATTTGACCAAACCTTGCTGTTCAATCTTTATTCAAACGGTTAAGAGCTTATACGGTTATCTATAAATTCGATTTTAATTCTGTGAATCTATTAAATTAAGATTTATCGTAAAGAGTCAATAGTACTTTGGATTTTTTTCTTCTTCTAAATTTGGGTTATGTATTTTTCAGCAATTAATTTGTTGTGTCTGTGTGGTGCGGGAAGGAAAAATGTATCAATACATTTCAGGATGCATGAACCTTCTCCAGCTTTGTCGGCAAATTAAGGAATCGTTAAAACATGACATTTCTGTTTCTTGAACAACGAGATTATACTCGTAAATGGTCACAAATGAATATTTGAAAGTTTTAGGCAAGAAGACGATATTGCACTCCCCATCACGTGACACCATAAAGGACCCGCCATTCTACGCATAGGCTGTACAAAAAAAAGTGGTTGCAACATACCTCAATATAGTTTTATACCAATGCACTTTAAAATATTTCGCATGTCATACTCTTTTTATTACGATCATTCTAATTCTATCGTAATAAGATTATGTTGTAATTAACATCATTATAAAATTATGGCTATTTATGTCTGAATTTTTCATATCGCTTTGCATTAACGGCCACTATAGATATGTAATGAGAGGAAATCGGGAAACTATTCATCCCTTTAATTGCGAAGCATGTCCGTCGTAACCACAATAAAGACCATTTCATGGAATGAATAAACATAGGGCTTAGAACAAAAAGGTAAACTCATACATTTTGATTGTGGCATATAGCACATCAGTAAGACACAATGCGAATAATACTTTCAGTTATATAACAGAACAATTTTTTTTTTTTTTTAGCTCATTGACATGTATTATAACATTTATACATCTTATGAGCAAATATGGTAATTGAAGTCTACCAGTCACTTGAAAAGGAAGAAATTGTGTGCAGGTCAACTGAATTAAATTGACCTCATGAAATAGATTTATCATTCTTTTTGTAAATGGTTAAGGAGTATGACGAAAATAGAGAATACATAAAAACCCTGCGTATAGGGCGCACAAGGAACCTAAGTCGGATTTGGGTCCCATGCGCGCCATATTCTATGCGAGTGCGTTTGCGTGCGTTAAGTTGTCTGCTCAACAATCTCTTACGTTTACAGTTCATTGGGAGTGTATTTAAACTGAACACGATCGAAACTACTTTCGAAATATCGAACCCAAGGCAATTTTGATATCCTTCAGCATTACCTTTTGAATGTGTGTGAACATGACAATCACGTATTACGTAATTTCGTACATAATTGCAATGGGAAAAACAATGGATATTAACATTGCCCTCGAGTCGATTTTTCAAAATTACTTGCGATCGTGTTTCTGTAATCACTCTTCTCATTGTTTGAATACAGGAAAGCGAAATGGAACCCCTTACATCAAGAGCAAAACAGGTTTGATGGTTGGTGAGCTTTAAAGCAATACCATATCAACTCTGTCATAACACAGGAATCTCAGAGATCGTGCAAGCGTATATAGCTTGCACAGATATCTTCCTTTTGGGCCAATTTTCTTGAGAAATAGGTGATGTACATGATAGTGTTGGAACAATGAAATGTAAATACTCTTTCTTCAGCAAGGCAATCGATTCTCTTTTAAAAAAAATAATAACAACACAAATTAGCAAAGAGAGGAAATTAATCTAGGAAAATGTACTGATACTCATGAAGTTCATTTAAACAAAATTACTTAGATAATTTCAAAACATGTTATGACAAAAAAAAGATCACATTTAACGATTTTACTGATGTTGCATGTTGCGTCTGCTCGTTGCTCAGCGATTTTTCTTTTGTCAAATTTCTTAGAGGGCAGGTGCGTGTTCTTTGTTGCCATTTTTCAGAGAAAGAGATAGAGTACTACGATTCGTCGTCATTGACCGTTGTCGACATTTCCAAGTTAACAGTTGTTAATTTTATTTTCACGAAGTGTCTCATGCCCGCTGAGTCCTGATTTACAGAATTTCCTCACGTTCAGTGTGCTGGAAGCCATCGCTATACAAGGACACATTATTGTGTCTCAATTTTGATCTTATCCGTTTCTCAGGTCCTATTCTGCGACACCAAGGAGGTGAGAAGGACACATCTGCATTCACATTTGCACTTCTGATTACGTGTACTGCATGAGGAAGAAAATAGTTTAGGAGACATCGTCACTTCTGTGACAAAGATCAACACTGTTTCAATGAAACGTTCGACATTTTTTTTTCTTATAGATTCGTCCACTGAAATCGTTCAGTCTTATTCATGTTCCAAGGGCTAGTCCTTTCCTAGCAGAAATAAGCAATGTGACGGGTTACATCGTCGTATCCTCTACAGCAAGTTTACGAGTGTTGAGTATTGGAGTAGCCCCTGATACGGTACTCTCTGCCGCGGTGGGCTGAAGGTACGTAGCTCCTGTGGGCCTTTCCTTACGTTTGATGTTTCCATTGATGTTTGATCCTGACACCGCCCCTGTCGTGCTCTTGTTAGATACCACTGACATAGCGTCCTCTAAACACGTGAGGAAAGGCAACAAGCGATGGAATTCCTTCCGGAAATTATCATTCAACCAGGCGTAAAGAATGGGATTCACGATGATGCTGCTCCCTGCGATTAATTGTGAGATCATCATCCATATGCATGGAACAGCTACTCCAAATTCATGGAGGAGAAGAAAGATATTGAATGGTGACCAGCACATTACAAATACAATGACTACTGCTGATAACATGCGATTCATTCGTTGCCGGCGATGATTCTCCCGAACCTCACTATCCCGGCCACGCATTCCCGGTCGCACGTTTCGACTCAACTTTACAGATATACACGTGTGGGCGATTGATACTAGTAACAAGGGATAAAAGAACTGGATAAGAAACATGGCAATGCTGTAGCGCTTTCGACCATGGCCTTTGGGCCAAGTTTCTTGGCATATTACAACTTTTTGCCCAAAATAGAAACTATAATCTTCCATATCGGTAAAGATTGGAATAGGTAAGGTAAGGCTTGTACTCATCAACCAAATGATAGCCAGCGCTATGTAACATCTTGTCTTGTTGATGGGCTTGAGGAGTGGATAGACCACGAGACAGAAGCGATCAACTGCGATGGCGGATAACGTGAGCGTCGACACGAAACTCATCACGGCGGGAACATAAGCTGAAACCTTGCACAGGAAGCCAGGCAGTACCCACACGAAGCTCAAATACGCCGTGATGTTCATAGGGAATCCTAAGACGGCATATATCAGGTCCGAAATGGCGAGATTGCAAATAAAAATATTGATGACGGTTCGCATCTTAGGACGCCGAATGACCACCAGACAAACGAGGACATTGCCGAAGATTCCAAGGATAATGATGATGATGGTAAGGAGGCCAATGACTCCCTTCACTGCGATTGGCGCTTCTGGTAAGTGACAGTTCATTGGCGCATACCCCGTCTCGTTATCAGAATCATTGAACGAGCCAGCCTCGAAGAAGCTGCTAGCTTCAGAAGAAGTTTCATAGTCAAGAGGCGGGGAGTATTTCGCCTCACTCATTTTGATACTTTTTCCCCAACTTGAAGTATTTCACAGTTTGTACCTTAACCACTCTAACTATGACCATAAAAAGGCGCCGTTAGACGTCGTCCCGGCTGCTGTACTTGTTTACGTGTCCATTAATGGGTGCATCTGCAATTTCAAAGTGATTAACAATTTCAAAGCAAACGTGCTGCTTAATTTCCTGCGTGCGTGCCCACTTCACCTTGAAAACATGTTAGCAGAAGCAGAAACAGTACAACCAGTCGTATCACCAGGCTGTCAAATCAACGTTGATAGTAGTACATGTCAGTCTGAGTTTTCAAGTTGTGTGTACATGATAATGTTTGGGAATTAAATCGGTGTAAGCGTCCGTGTAATACAAGCCGGTAAAAACTCCTAAATCAATATACCTTCGATTCCACGGTCGTGTAGTAATTAACACCCGTCTGCGCAGACGAGTGTAAATTTGAAAAACACTCCAAAAAATGATGCCTTATTTTTAAAAGTAGGTTAAAATTGTGTCATACTTGTCATCCTCGCTGAGAACGCTAAACATGTTTGTAGTTGCGTGGTCCTGTTTGCACGGATTTATTCCGACGAGGGATGAGTCGTAGCTTGAGATGCCTCTAAGAGGTTCTTGTCGATTAATTGTTGTCAGAATCAATCACTTTTCATCGCTCGCCATCATTCGGCGATCATGTTCTGTCGCAAGTAGTACATCTTACCCGTGCTAATTTTCCAGAGAACTTTCTCTGATCGATTTACTGAATTGCTCTAGATAACACGATACGGCAAAGAAGCATTTCTGCTGTTGAGAGGAGAGCAGATCGGATGTGATACAAAAGACAGTCTCTGGTGCATGGATTGACCGCTTTTTACAGGCGCTTGCCTGTTAATTTCGATTGAAGTGTCAGATTAAAGCATTGACAGGCCGGTCTCACGGCGCTTTCTCCAGTAATGGATTGCGCAAAGTTCACGACAGACAAGTGCCGAGTTTAAGGGAGTTGTGAACAAACCGGGTGATAAGTGTCTTTGAATCCCCTTGCAACCAAACACAATCGATTGAATGTCTGAAGATGTCTCTCCGCCCCCCCCTGTCCGTCAAATTAAGCAGGAAGCGAGATCCGGTGTTCAGATGTTATCTATGTTTTTATTATAATATACCATTCATACAAACATCGCAGTTGCGAAAGAAAATACACTCATTCAGGCCTCAAGCGTCAAAATGAATTGGCAAGCAAGCTGTAATGTCATCGTTGTTATCTTTTTTCCAACGCGTGTTGTGAATTAAATACCATTCAGAAATTCATGAGCACGTCTCGGTTGTTCTAGTCGGCTGGCCTGTAAGCCGCTGGGGCCCCGTGGTATCACCTCTTCTCGATGTCAGCAGGCTAAGCGACGTTAAATATCCGCTCTTGGTAATTGTCTTTTGGAGAATGAGGGCTTTTCCTCCTCTGAATTTTTTTACCTGAATTGGTTGCTGAAAAGGCAAGAGCTCTCAGAGTATTTAAAAATGATCAGAAATTCAATTGGAAGTAACGTTAACTCTCATCCAAACTGACATCGAATTTCTGTGTAGAGACGTGGAGCATTCTGTCCAGGTACGATAATAAATCAGTTTGTGCAGCAGTCACAACTATACACTCATAGGCCAATCTGTAGCTTGAAGTTTATGTTTCCTCAACAATCAAATGGACGGCTCCTATCGATAGTGACATCATCAAACTGCAAATGGACTAAAAATCTGCACAGATGCTGCGTGCAGTCCCGCCAGTCAATGTTCATTTAGTCCCAGCCATTCCGGTTGACACAAATTACCACTGACTCGTCTCCGGTTTGTATTTGTCAGGCGATAAATGTCATATGTAGTTAATCGGTGGTTTTACATGCATGGCTCATCTGCGGAGCGAATAGCTTTACTCCTTTCCTGTTGTAGTTTGTACTGACTTCTGCTGGCTGATAACAGGAAACAGAGTTTCTGATTTCCTTATCCACTATAAGTCTTTGAAAGAGAGGAATAAGTCACCTCTCTGTCAATGGATGGGACAACGATGAACGACCCTTCCACAAAGAAAGAAAATCGGAGAGCAAGCAATCGACTCGAAGTACGGCAAAAGCAATGTTTGTCAATCCATTCACTCTTGGATGTGCAATCTGTCACGATCTGCATCATTCTGCAATGCAATCATATAATGAGTGTCTTGTCTGATGGCGAGTTCTTATATTGTCCACCTTGCTACTTTAAGACCAGTGTTTAAAACTACTCATCGCCAAATGCCCACCCCACGCCACGGCGCACTCGGAGGAATAGTTCAACATCCACGGTAGACGAACACAACGCAGAGTGTGTTTGGTGTTGAATTGCTTGCTCGTCCGTGTATTGGCTCGATTGTGTGTGCGTATAACAGCTGGTGCACGTATCCTCAGACCGCGTGACCACAAACGCGCGATCCCATTCGTTAACAACGAAACTTGGTCCCGCCCACATACTAACGGATGTACAAAAAAACACCACGAATGAGACTGGCTGCAGCCTATAAATCAAACACACGGTTTCATGTGCTGAAAACTTTACGCAGAGCTAACCGCGAGTGTATAATGTTGTGTCGGTGATACCATGTGATTAATGACTTGATAAACTCAATTCAAATCCGGCTATGTTACACTGTAGCCGAAGCTGAGTCAAGAAAAGGCCACATCAATTGTAATCACCACTTCTTTTCCTTCAACTTCTTATTGAAACTAGCACAAAATAAAAAAATTAATAATAACATGAATGAAACATAAAAGGACAGTAATGAAAATACAATCCTCAAGAGCAGCGCGTCGCTAGGGGTGGTCGGCATGAAATGTGTCAATTTCTCTCGGAAAATGTGAAAAAACAGAAGTAGGCTTTCCCCCTTTTTAATATGTTTTTGTTAAAGGTTATGTTCGTTTGGAAATGTTCGGCTGAATAGTTGGTCAATGTTATCCGACATCCCGATTCGCAGGGTTTTCGTGCCCGGTCAAAAGTACTGATCATATATGTATACCAGGACAGATGAGAAAACAATGACTATTGAAGTGATTTCGAATGTGATGTTTTTTTGTTTTTTTTTTCTCGTTTGAATGTCTAGGCTACATGAACTTAAAGATTGGCAAGGTCAATCGTGTAGCACATATGTATTGATGTATACTGTGAGACTCCACAAACATATGGCATAACAGTTATGGTCCAACCCTATTAGGTGTTACTTGATATATGTCGGCATTTGAAGCGCCATCCTTTTCACATGTTTCAAGGGACTTTCTTTCTCTTTATAATGCTCTTCCACAATAACATAAACACAAGAATGAAAAGCTCACAAATGATTTTTCACCTTTCACATAACTCAACCTTTTTTTAGACTTTGACCTATGAATTTATTTCATTTGATATGAATAGGGTTTACGAACATAAAAAAGACTGGTCTATTTTAAGTTTTATGTCATTTGAAATTGAATGGGTTGATTTATCTTTGCTGCCGTTTACATACCTCCCTTTGAAAACTGCTTAACAGAAAGCAGTTGCCACTGAAAAGCCGCTTTGAAGTAATAAAATGATAAAATGGGACTAAATAGTTTATTTGGATTACTCTCATTTTCACACAAAAATGAATGATATGGATTTGAATGATTTTAGCGAGTACATGTATGAGTGAAGGCTTTGTTGAATGAAAAGGTGTTCCATTACTTCTGGTAAAAAATTTGTTCAAGATTACCCTCACTAGCTAGTACACAGTGGCATAGCATGGGCCAAGTCTTGGAGAGGAGGGGGTAGGCACTGGCATCATTAGGTGAGCACTTGTTCTGCTCGATGGATAAAAGGTGCTGCAAATTCAACAAGGCTATCTATTGTAGAGATCGGGAGGGGCTGCTATATACTGTATATCAGTTTTTTTTCTCCTCGCCTTTCTTCTCCTTCTCTGTCTGTCTCTCTCCCTTCCTCCCTCCCTTTCTTTCTTGCTTTTCGCTTGAGGAAAACTCGCGGGTGCCCCCTCACCCACCCCCTTTAACATTGTCACTTCCCGTAGGTGAAGACGCAAGGGGTCGCCACAGGGTAAGCTTTTGGGTGAAACACCGCAACACCCTAGCCTACAGGTTCTTCGGTGAATAACCTTTAGTACATTGTCCATTAGGTTGGTTCACTGGCCCGAATTCACAAAGGAGGTTTGTCAACAAACCAAGGTTTGTCGACAAACCTCCTTTTGTTTCGCCAAACCTCCTTTTGTTCTTTACAAACCAGATTTGTAAAAAACGCGTAAAAACGCGTCATATGACGTACGAAAACCAAGGTTTGTCGACAAACCTCCTTTGTGAATTCGGGCCACTATGTGCGTTACTTCCGTTCTCATAATATCAATTGCATATATTATCGGAGGAAACACTTTCGTATCTCCTCCGTAAGCTCTTCAAATTGTTTTCTTGAAACTGAATGGGTGAAATCGTTTGAGACCCTGTCTAAGCGCGTACACATAATACAGTTTATACTCATTTCGGATGGACCGAATTCTTCGTGATAAAAGAAGTGTCTGCTCGAAAGAGGGCGCTATTGTACATTGCTGTTCGGTCAGTTTTGGTCTTCATGTCTAGGTGACAAGTATTTAGTTTGATAATTTGGTTTTCAAATTACTTTTAAATGATAACATTCTTGAAACAAATTGCACTTAACCGATTTTTAGTAAAGTATAATATTAACCAGTAACGCTAAATTAAGCTCGCATGCTGTTTTGGAGGGGGGGGGGGGGAACGGGCGAGGTGATTCGTACAATGACCACGGACATTTGTTTAGAAATATTGATCTTATTTTTGTTTCTAACATGTGCTTGTTTACATGTTTTACGGCGTTTATGTCTTCTTTGCATCAGTGCCATCATGGTGACAGCTTGTTTGGTTGATGAAAACCCTAAAGTTGAATAATAGTCAATTTTTTTAAATTTTAATTTACCGTATAAATTGTATGAAGAATCAAATATTCCCGATTTTTTGTTATGAGCTCATATTGGGCAGAGGCGGAACTGAATTTTTTTTTTGGGGGGGGGGTGTTTAGCACCCCCCCCCCCCCCCAAAAAAAAAAAAAAAAAAATAAATAAATAAATCAATAAATAAATAAATAAATAAAATAAATAAAAAATATAAAAAATAAAAAATAAAAAAATAAAAAATATTTAAAAAAATATTAAAAAATGTTTTCACACACACATACACACACAACAACAACAATCTGAAATTTTAAAAAAATTGAAGATACGGGGCTGATTTTTTTTTATTATAAGGAAACGAGAAAGAAAGAAAGAAAAGAGGGTCTAATTCCCCATAACCCCCCTTTTGGATCCGTCTATATTGAGCATCGAACCTATTTGATTATTCTGTTCTATTTTTCTTCAGCATAAGAGGCAGGCAAAATCTCGTAGAGATATAAAATTTGAGATTTAGCATTAACTGGCCAGGCTTGTTTGGGAATCTATTTACGTTGTCCGATTTTATTCATGTATGAGAGGAAATAATCTTCTGGGGCTCAAAAAGCAAATGGTAGAGAAGGCTTCTTTCTTCAGGTTTTGTATCGAATAGTTGCTTGAATGAGTTGTATTTTCTCGGGATGTATCTGCATGCAAATTGTTTAAGACCCCCCCCCCCCCCAAATCCTACAATGGGTATAATGGCATAGAATTTAGACACCTTGATAGCATAACATCGAGACTGCGTTTTATCTCAAATTCATATAATTAGCAGTAAGGGTTATAGTTTACCGTAATTGACCTTTTTGACTGTTTTTCTGATTTCTTCAAAAATCCCGTTAGCTGTTGGATTAGGTTAATATTGACATAAACTGTATGTTAACTACAACGTTTTCGATATCCCAAATTTATGTAGAAAGCAAATGCTTTTATGCTATTTCAACAAATCTTTTTGGGGGGTCCATCTCATGCATGGTAAGATTGCATTTTTTAATTTAAAGATTGCTCCGACTTTCATGAAATCAACTTCAGGGTTATTCCAAGCCCCTATAAAATTTAAAGTGGGACTGTATTACGTGTAGCTACTTGCACCCTATATAGCCAACAATGTCCAACCGGTACCCGTTGATCCCCCATGGTCCCCTTTTTCTTATGTTAATTGAGAGCTAATTTGTTGAGATAACTACATGTCAGTGACTACGCGGGGAGGTCTAATCCCTCCTGGCCAAACTAATGCAGATAGGCTTGAAATAAATCACGTTTGTGTTACGCAATATATCATCGCTATGTTCGCACATTCAACTTGACAGTCAAAGAATTGAAAGATAAACTTATCTATTATAATGGTAAATGGTTGAGTGGATATGCAAAAATAAGAACCGCAATACAAAATCGATGGAGGCGAATCATAAAATATGGCGAACAAGTTTATGATTTTAAATATTACAAACGTAAATCAATTATATACTCAAATTTGAATTTGAATAGTTTTGAATTATCAATACACTCTATTACTGTGAAAAAATATATACGGAACTCATCAAATTAAACCAAAAACCATCTAGGGCGGTAGACTTCTGGAACAAAACCTTACAGACAAATTGTTCTATTAAGTGGGAATCTTTATGGTTATTGAAATTGAAATATGCTCATAATAATTATTTGATACATTTCAGCTATAAATTTATGTATAATATTTTACCAACGCCTGTTAATTTATTAAAATAGAAAATCAAAGAAAATAATTTGTGTTATAACTGTAACAAACCTCGTACTATTATACATGTATTTTTTAATGCGAAAATATTTACCCATTTTGTAACGTTATTGAAATATTATTATGTAACTCCTTCTGTACAAATTTCAAGTTCTCACCCATTTGTGTTGTATATGATTTTTATGACGCAAAGGAAAATATTACAGACATCGATTTAATACTTCATTATGCTTTATTTGCAATCTATAAAGCGAGTGTTGTAAATCAATTTAATAAAAATGTAGTAACGAGAATAACAGGCAAATATTTTTTTGTTTATGTTGAAATACAAACTAGAAGTAGAGGAAAATAAAACTAAAACAACAGATTTGAATATCACTAAGTGGAGGAAGACAATTACTGATTTACAATCTGCTATCAAGTAAATATAGATATATAATTTGATTTGATCTCATTTAAACATGTGATTAAGTGCTTAGTTTTGAATATTTATGTACGATGTTATCCGTGATTTTATCTGAATAAAGTTTTATTTCAACAACAACAACAAAACTAAATTCTTAAGAAAATCATGTGAATAGAATAAAAAATGATATGAAAACTTGAAGAAAAAGAAGGGGAAAAAAAACTTGCCTTAGGGTTATTTGCAATTGAGCTTTTTGTTTTCTTTTTTATGATATCCATAAACATCACTTGTCGGAAGAAAAGGATATTTTCTTCTTACACGT